CTCTCTCTCTCTCTCTCTCTCTCTCTCTCTATATATATATATATATATATATATAAAATCAAACCAGAATTTCTGGTATATATTAAAAAATCAGATCAGATGACTGTGCTGGTCATCAGACTGGCCCTGGAAGGGTGTGTTGGATTAAGGGCTGCTCATGCTAGACAGGGTACGCACACCCTGGTTCTGCCACAGTCCTCACCGCTCCCTACTGAGCACAGATGGCCTGCTGCACTTAGGTCTCTTAGCAATCTGGCTCCTGTACGCGCCTGAATTTGCCATCCCAGTTTTAAATGTCTTTGTAAATATGTTATGAGGAGCGAACAGCATTTAAAAAATCACTTGCCTGAAGGACGAGGGATTCTTTATCATTTTCCAACCGTGCCAGCCTTTCTTGGTACACATCTCCGTTCCCGGGTAGGTGTCCATTTGTCTGAAAAGGAAGTAACTAGGGTGAGTCTGGCCCTCTTTCCATTTGAACCGCTGTGGTTAAATAAAAAATTTGCATCTGTCTTTAATTCAAGGAACCTGAACTGAATTTAGCACAGCTGTGATTGACAGCCATGAATAGAAAATACAAGAATAAAACTTGGTTCATTGACCTCAAAATAGGTAAGATAGGCACATTAGGCATGTTTTTACCAAACCACACAACTTCTCATCAAGCAGAAAATAATGATCTAAAAGGAACAGTGGCTAAAAGGAACATTCACTGTCAGTGGGGGCACACCTGGGGCACACGAAGCTTTGCGAGTGTGTGGTCGGGCATCAAACTTCTATTTCCCCCGAATGCTCAATGCCATAATTCTGAGTGGAGACAGTGGGAGTGACCTGGGATGCCCTCTCCTTCCTCCCTTCTCCCCCCTAAGTCCCAAATGCAGGACTGCACATGCCTCCCCTTAAATGGGAGACAACAGGGGTAACTTACAGGCTTCTTCCTGCTACTCAAGTCTCCAAATCACAGGGCAAACCTCTCCTTCCTCTTTGAAGCCTTTCTCTCTCCCCCAAAACCTAAACTCTCAGTATGTAAGACACCACCACACCTTCTCCCCCTACC